CGGGACCTCTTTCCGGCTCCAAGGTGGCTTCTTCGGCCAGCCGTGGGCCCCCAAAGCCGAAAGGTAGTAGCGTGGGAAACGTCTTCGCGAAGAACGAGGCTTCAAACGAGTCGGCAAATTCATCCCCGCGACGAACGTGGATGTACGGCTCAGAGCCATCGGCATATCCTCGCCGGCTGTCTCCCGACGATCCAACCCACGTTCTCGGGCCCATACGGCCGTCGTCATCACTTTCACCGACTGCGTCGCAGGCGAACCGCAATTTCTCGGCGTCCGCTACATCTGGCGGTCCGTCCAGTGCGAACATTCCAGACGAGGTGACCTCGTTGATCGGTTTCACCGTCTGGTCAGGCTCAGCGTCCCTTTCAGCCGGAGACTTGTATGCCTTGTTTTCCCCTGCTGTTCCAGTCTCGCATCTAGGCGAGTTTTCTTCTTGATTGAGCGCGGTGAGGATTTCCTCGATATCCACCGAACCCTCGTCGTCCATGGCGCGCTCCGTGGGCGGCACGACTTGCGCAGTTCGTGTTTTCTCCCACGCTGACGGCTCGTTCCGCTCCATGCGATCGTACACCAACGACGGCACCCCATGCGGCGGGGCTCCCCAACTCTCCATCTCCGCCGCGTCGATCTCGATCTCGGCATAGTGTGGATTGTTCTTCTTCAGCCAGACAAGGGCCCTCTCAACAACTCGCCGTCTCACCGATAGGAGGCTTGAAAGATCGCTCGCTCCCGGCTTTTCCGCGCCCTGCCACGACACGTGGATCTCGTCCATGACTCGCACAAGCGGATGGGGGAGCACATTCGTGGCCAGCTCCTGCACATTGTTTGGGAACACCGTGATGTGGCCCTTGACGTGCCTCGGATACCTCACAGTCTGCCTCTGGCCACCCGGAATGCTGTACCTTGTGACAAGCCCATAACACGAATTCAGCGCGATGAGTTTCTCCTCAATCAGTGTGAGGCCCTTGAGCTCGTTGGGAAACATGTGCTCACATCCAAGGCGGCTATGAAGCTGAGCCGCTGGCGACAGCCCCCCCTGCTTCAAAAAGCGTATACACTCTGAACAGCCCAAAATAGTCCCTCCAACGGGAAGGCAACTTCGACATGAAAATGGAGAGTGGTCGCCCTTATCGATGCGGCTCGACAACCATCGGTTCCACGCCACCTCTCTCAATTCTTTTTTCGCGCGCTTACGGTAGCACAGCCCGCAGGTCCGTATCGGCAAAGTGCTCGCATCGTGGAACGCTTTGTAGAAGTCTCTCACAGTCGACACCTTCCTCTCGTGCGGTATTGGCGTACACCACGTCTGATCGTTGGACAATCTCTCCTTCACGGCAAAGTCTTCCTCCAAAAAGCGAAGCACGCTCGCCAAGTCTTCGGCCTGCATCTCCCGTCTCCTCTGCCTTCCGGTTCCAGTTCGAACCTGTTTCCTCGGGCGCTCGTCCCGGCTAGGAGGACGGTCTCTCTGCCTCGAATCCGCGAGTTCTTCTCTCGATGGCTCATTCGCTTCTTCAAAACCCGTCTGATGTGGCAGCCCCGGCGACGACCGTCCGACTACGTGCGTATCCCCCGCCGCGGCCTCCGGCTCTTTGCACTGGATAGGCTGGGTGCCCTGCAATTGCTTGGGTTCGATAGGCCCGGGCGTGTATGCTGCATTCCGTCGAAGGAGCGAAGCGCCGCTAACCGCCGCCGTACCGCCCGGCTCATCATCTTCAGGACCCCTCTCCCGAGGCAAAAAGTGTCGATGAAAGAGCGGGGGTTCAGAATTCGCCGCCTCCGGTGCGCCAGGTTCACTGAGCAAGGAGGGCTGCCATGCCGACGACCCCGGTCCAGCAACTCCCCCCGTCCCTCGAAGCTCTCTATCATCAAGCTGAACCGATGGCGGATGTCGCGCGGAACCTCCACTATTGGCCGTATCATGAGACTTCCGTGCTCTATTTGACCGCAAGCCACCTCGCGGAGGTCTTCTGGGCAACGACCTTGCGATTGCTTCCGCATGCTGCCTCCATTCGGTATCTTCAACCTCAGGCTCCTTCGGCAGAATCTGTCGGAACCTTGATGCTGCATTCGCCAGTGAATGGTATCTTGATGAATGTCCCAGCCTCTTGCCCCGTGCGCTGGGCTCCTTTTCGGCAACCGCCACCACATCTACACCGACTCCTGTCATCCCATCTTCCTGCTCTCTCTCCCACAAGCTTACATCATTACCCCCTTGTCCGCTCCCAGCTGACGACGAGCAAGCTCCCACGTGAGCAACCGCCTCATGTGGTTTCGCCGCTGGACTATCCATCCTGCTGCTGCCTTCTCGACATCAATGACTCCAGGCGGGACGGTGGATCACAAGGCTTTCCGCGTCGGACTCCCTTTAGTTGCACGATTTCGCTTCTGGACGATGATGATGATTATGCTCCTTAATACGGCATTGGTTCCTGGAGTATCCCAGCGGTCCGCTAATAGTCCCCTTAACCACCCGCAACCCTTCCTGTATGCCTACAACCCAGACTCTTTGCTCAACTGCCGATGTTGCCCTTTGTGGCGCCGCAACTCCCATCCTTCAAGTCGGTGACACACTCAAGCTGAAACCGTTGCTACCCCGATATCAGCTGATTCCATGTCGGCACTTCGCCTTCATTCACCTGCTTGACTGAAAAAGACATTACTCCATCCCCTACAGTCACATCGCACTTCTGGCATTTGACATACATCACTTTCGATGACGTCTCTGCCGCCAGATCGACCTTGCTCATGACCCAAACCCCGCATTCTTCATCTACTTGAAACATGAAGCTTTCCCGGACCTTCGTCTGGGCTCTGATCTGCCGAACCCCGCACCCTACATACTGCGGCCCGCGAGAACTACCACGGCATCTATATCCATATAGAGACCAAGCCATCGTCACCTCTCTCACTTCCTATTCTGCTGTTCCCTACCGCGGTATCTACCGTCCTATTGCCTCTAACGTTCGTCTCGGGTATTCTTGGCTCGTTTGCAACAGCCAATGCTCCAGTGTATCATGTCTACTCCCGCACCCCTCCCCAATGGCCCCTCGAACCCTCGCAAACCTCTCGAGAGCCAGACAAACACGGGCAGTGATATGGCCATGATGCTTTTCGTCCAGCCAGACTGCCCGTCCAGATTTGCCTACCAGGACCAGCATAGCATCAAGGGGCCCAACGTAGAGGCATTGGCGAGGGTGCTTTAACCGGGGCTACGTTTTTATCGTCGTACCAGATACATGGACCCTTATCAACAGGACCATCCCTAAGTCTGCCTTCGCAGCCCCTTTGCTCGCTAACCCACAGACACAGTCGTCCTCCGCTCCTATGGCCTTTGGAGATACCAAAGCTATGTTTGCCTCGCCGCCAAAACCAACAATTCACCATCCTCCGCATGTCCCAACCACTCCCCCAACGTCTGCTTCGGTCGACCCGAGGACGCCGCCGGCCAAGTGAACAATCTCTGACACCGGCCAGACCCCTACGAAGAAACGATGCCTGTCCCCGTCCTCGTCTAGCACCATTCCGTCTTCTCAGAGCAACGAGCCTGTTAGATCCCTCACGGCTTCCGCTTTCTCACAAAATGAACTTGATGAATTGGAGGCATACACTGCCATTACCTGTCGTCCAGATGCGCCTGAGTCCGATTCTGTCAAGGGCAAGGATTACAACCATCGTGAATAGCTTCACGGTCAGTGTCGCACGACGCGATTGTTTTGCATAACTGTACGACGATCGGGCAGAAGATCCCCTGTGAATCGGGCAACGAAAGACTCTTGATTTCCTATCTAAAGGAGCGGATTTGAGCTGAACTAAATACACAATGGAGATACTGCTGCCTGTAAGGCAGCAGTATAATGAGTCATATAATGAGTCAATGACTGGCTGTAACCTGCTAGTTGTGGTCGTTCACTCTCATCGTGAACAAATTCACGATGATCGTGATTCTTGTCTCATTTGTGAGCGAGCGACTTAATATTGACAGTCAGCGTGAACGCTACACCATACCTAGCGTCAGGCAACAGCCTGCTGCCTATGAGATCGGCAGACTGAACACAGGTATAAGAGACCGACTCTCGTCGCTCCTTTAGATAGAAAATTAAGCGCTCATTTGATCATCATGGCCCATCAATGCCTGCGACAGATTCAATCACGGTCCTCACGTCAGATTCGCCCCGACCGCATCGCAACCGTCATCCCCCAAAGAAATATCAGAAAGTTGACTATGAACCCATTGGAAGAGTCCCCTTAATGTAGCAACAAATAGCGACCTCGTGAAGCCTCAAATTGACTGGCACATCTATTGGCCGTCCATTGCACGATATTTTCAGTCTTGCATTTTCATGACCCCTCACTTCCTACACCACCTCAAGGAGGTTGCCGGGATACCCCTGAAAGGTCCCCCATCTCCCGCAGATACATATGTGACCAACGTCACTCAATCCAAAGCCAATATTTGCACTTGACGTTTCCGTTTCCATCCAACACATCTCTATCGCTCTTGCAAACTACCATAGCCAACTTCGTTCCTCAAGGCTCTATGCGCAAGCCGCGACTGGCTTGCCTCTCCTGTATATGACATACGAACACGACGCATTATGGATTTCAACCTGGGATATTTATTGGCTGACACATCTTGCTAATCATAAAGGAAATGAAGAGGCGTGTTTCAAGGCTAGAGATTAAAGGCATCCGGATTAATATCTATTGCGGTTTCCGGGTGCTCTCTTATCTTATCTTGGACGTGCAGGGGTATCGTGCTTTTTAACAGGGATACCGTTCCATTTAAAAATTTGACAAGGGTGCTGTTCGTCCCAGGCGTGGTCTTATTGGCTGAACCCATTCGAACACAAGTGAAATCCGAGACCCGACTCCTACCATAGATCCGTCGAGTAACCCCTCGCAACGTAATGCGGCTCCACTCTTTTAACTTCAAAACATGTGGGTTGCGATGCAAGTGTCCTTCTGAATCGATTCTCGCAACGACATCAAGCCTACGCATCATGGATGGATCAAGGAGTGTAGAAGAGCTGACGAGACTCCTGCAAGAGGCGGAACAACGCGCCGATGCAGCAGAGAAAGAACGACAGAAGGAGCGACAACGCGCCGAGGAGGCAGAGAAAGAACGACAGAAGGAGCGACAACGCGCCGAGGAGGCAGAGAGAGAACGACAGGAGGAGCGACAGCGCGCCGAGGAGGCAGAGAGAGAACGACAGGAGGAGCGACAGCGCGCCGAGGGGGCAGAGAAAGAACGACAGAAGGAACGACAGCGCGCCGAGGAGGCAGAGAGAGAACGACAGGAGGAGCGACAGCGCGCTGAAAGGGAACAGCAACGCGCCGAAGCGTCAGAGCAACAAACTCAGCCTACGACACTCGACGAATACATCGCTGCCTGCCATTCCCTTGTATTCTCCAGCTTCACCATTGAACTGAACCCGAAATTGACCTCGAAGGGTCCCATCACCAATCCGCGAAACAAATGGTGTCCCACAAATCTCCGACCATGGCCCGACTTTCTTCAACAACAGAGGATCACATTCGGCACGCTCTACGACACCTTCCCTACCGATAGTCGTGTTTTTGAGAACCGATCCTTCCTCGCCGGCTTAGGAAACAGGATCTCGAAGCGCAAGATAGCAGACGAGAAGACGCTCGAGTACTTCCTGCACAACAGCGTCGAGGATCCAGTCAAAACCGTCATGGACCAGCTCAAAGAGGTGGAAGAGGTCAGAAGTGCATTTCATCTAGGAAACGGCATCATTTTCGAGAACCATCCGCATGCCATCAGCGACATGGCCGAGGAGGTCGTCGACCGCGACACTCCATCGACACCACCTTCTACTCCGGACCACCGACTCGATCTCAACCAGCTACGACCCGATCAGATCTGCATCTACCGATCCGACAACGCAGGCTCGACGAGACGTACGATGATCTACATTTCCGAGTACAAGCCGCCTCACAAACTGACCGCGCCGCACCTTCGTCTCGGTCTACGCCCAATGAATATTTACAAGGACGTGGTCAACCGGAAGACGATACCGACGTCCGTGGACCCGGATGCGCGTTTCCAGTATCATGCGGAGAGGCTGACTGCAGCCGCCATCACGCAGACCTACCACTACATGATCGAGGGCGGACTCGAGTATGGTCTATTGACCACGGGCGAGGCGATAGTGTTCCTCAAGATCGACTGGCGGGAGCCTGAGACGCTTCTCTATCACCTAGCAGAGCCGGATGCCGAGGTGTCAGCCCATCCTAACCATTTTCACTTGTGCACGGCAGTGGGTCAGTATCTGGCCTTTAGTCTCATGGCTCTTGGTCCGCCGGGTGAACGACGGATGCGTGGGCAAGATGAGCGCCGCCAAGCTACTGAAAAATTGAAGACGTGGATGGAAGATTTCGAGACGACGCTACGATCGATTCCGGAGGACGAACGACATGCGCCGAAGAGTTCACCCGGTTACCAAGCGGAAGCTTACGAGGGTATCGACCGATCTCCTTACCTTCTCCGAGGAAAGAGACGGCGACGTGTGGGGGATGAGCCCGTGAAGGAACATGCACAAAGGGATCCAGGAGAATCATCTGATGACGAGTCAGCACGGGATTTGCCAGACACGCCGAGCCCGACAGAGCGGCGGGCACGTCGAGGAGGGTCAGAAGGCCAGGGAGGTCAGGGAACTCGACGCAGTCAGCGAATTCTGGCGCAACGGCCGCGGGGCGGAGGAGGAGGAGGAGGAAGAGGAGCAAGCAACGACAACGAACAAGACAGGCCGTACTGCACCCAAAAGTGCCTTTTAGGGCTCGTCAAGGGCGGTGTCCTCGACCCAAGATGCCCGAACATGTCACTTCACAGCAGGCAGCCCAATAATCACCGCAGCCACTGCCGTGGCCCGAGCCGCGCCTGTGCCCGTCATCCAATCGATCACGCTGAATTCCTTGAGCTTCTCTGGGAGCAGCTAAAACGGTCATTAGACGACGGGATCATGCCGTTGGGGCACGGTGGTGCGCGCGGCGTACTGTTCAAAGTGACCTTGCTTGCGTATGGCTATACCTTCGTCAGCAAGGGCACGGTTCGGGCATTTGCCAAAGACCTTGAGCATGAGGCGGCGGTTTACGAACGTCTGCAGCCCATCCAAGGTAGACATGTGCCCGTGTTCCTCGGGGCCATCGACCTCCGATCGATGAACAGGATTTATTACTATGACCACCGAGTCTATGTGATACACATGACCTTTCTATCGTGGGGAGGAGATGACCTTGATCCGACAGGGATTGTGGGTGGTGCGGAGGAACAGCTCGAAGGGAAGGCGATGCGGTCGTTGCGCGCAATGCATCAACAGGGAGTAATCCACAAGGATGTACGAAGGGCAAACATGCTGTTCAATGCGGAGATCAATGGAGTCATGATGATTGACTTTGAAAGAGCCTTGCTGCTGGAGCCACCTCGACGTCCGTTGGCTCAGTTGGTGCCGAACAAGCGAAGATGGAAGCCAGAGACGATGGATCGCAGCAAGTCGGCGGAGAAATCAAGCGATCGAGGTCAAGTCAGCCAGGCATTCTCCGAGGACATTGGGATGTTGAAAACAGTATTCGGGGAGCGTAATATTCACAAGCCATAATATAGTGAGTAGCATCATGAAACAGGAGGTTCATATCCAGCATTTCCGGCCCTAGAGTGATCTTCTCGCCACCGTTTTTTTTTTCCTTGCCCTACTCTTTCAACATTGTCAGTCAAGACCAGAAGATGGGTCTGGAATAGATGATAACGTGAGACCCAAAGCATTGTACCTCCATTGGATGCGATGGGCGATTCTGGCGTCTCACTACCTCTCGGCCATTGCATCTAGTCTTTTCCTTTGGAGCCTCGACGAGCGTATCTCTCCTTGCACCAGCACTCCGGACATTGGAAATTAAATGCGACATACCAAGACTTTACCACGCTTTTCCATATTTCAGGTGTCACCCCCTTCTTCAGATACTTCTTTCTATGGGTTCTCCAAAATCCTCTTCGCCTCATTTGGTATCTCAGGCAGTCGCAACAAAGGCCGATATGTCGATCGAGGCGGCCGCGATTGTCTCAAGGTGCTAGCTGCCTGAAAAGGTGAAATATTTCGTCGCAGGTTGATGGTGGGAGTAATCTGTGCTTGTGCACTGACGGCACCCGGATTCTCACGAGTGATGAAACTTGCAATAGGTGTCTACACGTCAGGGCAAGGCACAGCCATCCAATGAGTCGATGAATCGAAATGCTTAAACAAGAATCTCCGTTGCTGCTCCGCCGTCATTCCTGCGTATGTGTCGAGAGCTGTGGACTGCTTGCCGCCAAACATGGAGACCTTCATCGGTTGGTCGGGACTTGAGGAACTCTGAGAGACTTACTCATCATCCATTTTATAGTCTTTCATTCCGAGGGTTCTTTGCAGATTTGAGTTAGCATCATGGCCTTTCAGTATATCGTACCCAGCCACCCAGATACAAGGACGGATGTAGGGACTAACGTAACGGTAGTGTTCATACACATCGCAGGAGCAAGGTCTGGGGAGGGGAACAAGGTCCACTCCGTGAACGTGCTGTAGTCCATCATCTGTTCCCGTTAACCAACACTCTCTCAACCATGACACCTGAACAAAGGAACTATCGACAATGTCAACCTCAAAGAGGCGAAGGTCGCTGGACAACCCTAGGCTGAGCTTGAGACCGAACTTCAAGTCGATGCTCAGCTCAAACCTGCCGCCATCGCCCCCGGAGTTGTAGATGACGTTGTGGTTATCTATGGAGAACCTGTTGTCGTCGCGCTCGACGTTCCTGGTGCCCAGCTTGTTCTCCGGGTTGGGCGGGAAGTTGACGTTGAAGCCTCCAAGTCGGACTTGATGCGGGTGCTGAGCTTTCCGTCAAAGTAGGGCGCGCTGGGGCTGGCGGCGCTCGCATCGGTGTCGTTGAGGGATTCAAGCATGTAGTCGGTCTTGTAGTACGGCTGTAAGGTCATCCAAGTTTCGTCGGTTGGTTGCAGCGTGTGGCCCTTGAGATTGATGGGCTTGATCTGGGTGGATGCTGGGTTGCCCTTTCTGGCCTTCCTCCAACGGAAAAGGCCAGGCCAGACTCTCCCTCTACGTTGGGCCAGCCGTTGGCTTGTTTGACGTTGAACACGTTGTCCATTGAGGCCTGTGTTGTCCCATTAGATCAGCGAGCAGGCAGTCAGTGCTAGGTATGGGCCTTGCGACTTACAATCATGGAGAAGCCGTAGGTAAGATTGGCTTTGAACTTGCCCCGACATGGGCTCCAAAGCCAAGCTCGTAGTCCTCTCCATCAAACTCACTGTCCAGAAGGGGGGAGTGTCGACCCCCTCGTCCGGGTGCCTTTTGCCTTCGTCGTTGTGCGTTTCGGCATTCTTGTACATGGTCCGCCAGTCGGCCTGGCGCTCGGCGAAGAATCGCTGTGCGATCTGCGGGACTCACCTGACTGGATGCCTGGAGAGTCGACAGCGGCGATCCAGTAGCCTCAGACGTTGGAGTAGTCGATGCGGATCTTGGTGTTTCCAGCATCCCGTTGTGTGCGGTTCAAGTTCATGTCGAAGGCGAAGTCAAAGACCTTTGACGTAGCAGCTCCGGGCGAGTGGACAGATGGCACGCTTTGATCTGCAAAAGAGTTTAGTAAGAGCAGAACAGGCGGAGGCTGATGGATAGTTGCCGACCATCAGATTCTTTCAGGAAATGGCTCGGGCTAAGGAGTTGGGAGCGCACTATACAAGTGAGCGTCAGCAAGATAGGCCAGGAAACGGAATTTGAAGTGTCCAACCCACATTATCGGGCATCTCAACAATAGTGCTCCCAACACCTCCCTCCATGACCCAGAAGCATCCTCAACGTCCTCGCTCAGACACAACTGTGGCTGTCTGGGTCTCGTTCTTGGGCCGTTCGAGTACGTCCGGAGGGCAGTCGAGGAAGACCAGAGGCTCAGGCTCGTCCTCGCGCTTCTTGAGCGACAAAACCGCGTGCGAGTCGCCGGTGACGAGGACGAAGCCAAAGCAAGTCTGGCTGGGATCGGTCTCACCAGCATCGGCATTGCCTCCAAAGTTGATGAGAGCATAGTTGGTCTCGGCATCCTCAGGGGGGAGCATTTCAGCAGGGAAGACGCGCTCGAGGTCCACCAGCGAGAAAGGAGCCTGGGTGTGCCCGATAAGCTCGCCCTTGGATATAGCCCTCGGGACCTCGAGATTTGGGGTGTCGAGATCGATAGCCCAGATCATGAGACCATGAAGACTCATTTTTCTGGCATAATCGATCTTCATTTGGAAAGTCTCGGCATCGTCGAAGCTGGAGAGATATGGTCAGCAAAGATGATGCTTCGTATGGCTCAGTATTGAACTCACGAGATCCAGCTGTGGCCGTCGTAGACCATGTATCGAGCGGCGGCGGCGGCCTCGTCAAAATAGGGTGTTCGGCCGGTTTTGTCCGGTACCTGTTTCCATGATCTCTATTTGACAGAAACTAGTAAGAGATACTGTTCTTTTTCTCTACTTGAGTGGTTTCATGCTTGCTTACCGGATATGAGAGAATTCCAGCCGCGTTAGAGCAGCGACCGGGTGAACCAGGGCCCTGGAAGGCACAGCCGGGCTTCCAGCACGAGGCAGATTCGAGCTCCAAGGATCGACCGTAGAAGCCCAAGCCTAGTACGATGCTAGAAGGCTCAACACCAACGCGCCAGAACTGATAGAGTTCGTGTGTCAGTCAAAGGTGCTAGATAGTTGCCAAGTGTTCCAGTGACACTTATCAGGTCCAAGGCGTAGTCTATTTTGGTCAGGTTGGTATGAGACAGAACCTGGTTTCCGATGGGGTTATCGCTGTCCCAGACGCCGTGCAAGTCATAGGACACGAGGTTAATCCAATCAACATGGGCCTCCATGCCTTTAAGATCGAAATGGCGAAGGTACCAGTATGAAGAGGGCGCGGTAAAGGTGACAATGTAGTCGCGGCCGCTCGTGTTGATGGCCTCCCGCAGCTCTTTCATGAGATCCACGTAGTTCTTACCATCCCTGTCTGAGCCGCCGCGGTCGTCAGCGCTGGGACATTCCCAGTCGGTGACAATGCCAGTACTCTTTCTGCACAGGATACTCATAGGCTTAATTCGATCTCCAGAGACGTCACTCTTTTTGCGCACGGTTAGAGTGAAAAGACCTGAGACCAAACTAACAGGGGCAGGATATGAACGGCCCGCAAATGCAACACTCACCGAAATCTGCGAAGAGCAATCAATTAGCATCAGGTCAGAATCCCCCGTGACATGACAATATATGATACTTTACCGACACCGTTGTAGCCATACTGGGAAAGATATCCCAAAAGGTTGTTGATCAAGGTGGCCCTATTCTCCTTCTTGGAGGTGAGCGAAGGGGAGATATCTTGCCAAGGGCCGGGGTCGCTGAAGGTCCAACCCCCGAGGGCAACGACAATCTTGAGATGCGGGTTCTTGGCCTTGGCTTTCGATGGTCTTGTAGATGTTAGGGTCGATGTCTGATGATGATCAGGGGTTGGGATTGACGGAAACACCCAGACGGACAATATTTTCTCTCATATCCGTACTTTTCTTGTAGATCACTGTAGGTATCCTGATCACTTTCGCGTCCCGCCCTAGCAACCAGGGACTTACCCGAGAGGACGTGGGCTCGCTGTCTCATTACTCTGTCCATTAACAGTTGCCTGATAAGTCCTCGATTGATGCCCTACTCTCACTCTTAGAAACCTCGCCACATGGTTTGGAGATACGTTACATTTGCAGCGAGGTGGCCAAGCGGCTTTGATCGACTACCCGATCCCCAGGTGAGGGATTGCTCAATAAAAACTGCATCGGTCATGCCAAAGGATTCAGGAAATCGTCCCTGAATGATCTTTCTTTGTTCCACCAAGGGTGGTATGCTGGGACAAATGTAAGTCTGTCGGCTTCTCAAAGCTCAGTCGTATCTACTTCACCTCATATCGATGTTAACATAAATATCCAGCGGGTACTCAACCTGACTCGCACGAGCACTTCAAGACTTAGATAGCCTTTTGCTTACGATTGGCTATGTATATGCTTTCCTTTCTTCGAAAATGCATTCTGCAGCTTCTGTCAGCCAAGGGACTTGGACTATCACAATGACGATCTACGTGATTGTCGGCAATAGCCCTACAATCATCTGTGGGTACTGAGTCATCAGCACGCAGAAATACCGAACTGACTACGCTTCCAGCGTGGGCAAGTCCAAAATCGAGCTTCGGACGGTACGTCTCGCAAGCTGCTGAAAGTTATTAGAATCGTACTTTCCCATCGACTGATCGCCGCGTGATGGAGGGAGACCCTCTTTGTCGCTACGTAAGCACGTAAGCCTTTCGAAAGGTGATGCAGAAGATAAATGCCGTCACTACCGGGTCATGAGTTCTCTGTGCCTTCTAGACGAAAAGAGGAGTTCAGGCGAACAACCTCACGTTACTACCGGTAGCCCTTAGCCCTTCCAGAAGAATTCAATCGGTTGCAAATTTCTGTCTACATGGACGCCGATTGGTTAGGTATCTCTCGTTTCCGCCTTTGGGAAAGAGAAATACAAGTTGCGCGTCTCCTCTGAGGGCCTGCGGCTTTGCGGTCAGGGCGAAGACGACGATCTCTTCCTCGAGCTTTATGACAAGGAATTGCTCGAGAAGAATGGATTATCTGGAAGCCTGGGTCGTCTGCAGCTCGTTATCAACTCAACGACGTTAGTACATGACATGGAGGCAAGCTGTTTGCGTTTCCCAGAGCTAACTCTACGACGCAAGTACATGATCCTGCCCCGTCCTAACGGTACCGTCCATGAGAGCGTCTTGAAGTACGAGGTCGATCGGCTTCGCAAATCCGGCTACGTACCTGCATCCGGGGTTCCCACCGAGGCGCTCGAACAGAGACGGTCTGGTCATGAGTTCTGCCACCTAGTAATGTTGGAAGACTCACTGGAAGACGGACAAGTTTGAACAGCACCTCTGATTCAATTTGTGACTTTTCAGTTACGAAGAGACTGCCATAACGATAGGTTTGAATCTTCCCTATTCGGGGGCTTTCGGGGGAACTTGGTGCCTTGTACTTACTCGTGTGGTTTTGTATCTCGATGCTCGGATCGGTAAGGTTGCAGAAGACTAATGAGCGAAGCCAGCCGCCCCGGCGTCAAAGATGCCAGGACTTGGTAAGATGTCCTATCCCTTCAATTGTCGAGGAGCTCCGGCGAGTACCCCGCCCCACACTACCCCTGTCAACAAGGAGGTACATGAGGGGAACCACACGATGCGTCATTAATCAATACCACCTAAATCCTCATACAAACCATTCTTAATTAAGTAACGACTTCCCAACCGATACCTTCATCACTACCTACAGAGGCAGTCAATCCAGGGGCTTCAATTAGGGCAGCCAAGGTCAAGAAGCTCAAGGAGGCCGTTGGCGCCGGTCAGTGGTAATAAAAGGAGGCGCCAGACAGTTTGGGGATGTGAGCAGTGTGATGTAGCAATTTGTAACTCGAGAGATTGCTGGTACTTCTCCCGTAGGCTAAAATAGGTGGGGGGCCAGGTACCGTTGATCCGATGCATTTTTATTGGCTGCCCCCCCCTGCCGTGACCCGACCGGAGCTCCTCGACAATTGAAGGGATAGTCCTTTTTGTCGTGTTGACGTGCGCAACGTGATTATGGATGATGGATTGCCCTCTAACAAGTCTAATTGTTCCGAGTCATGGCACTGGCCACTAACTGAGAGAAAGGAGTGTCCTCTTGGTTACGTCTCTCGTCTCGCTTTCGCAAATGGTGGCAATGAAAGCTGAGATGCTGTAGAAGAGGGCCTAGAGGATAGTTTCCTTTTCCAACGATCAAAGGGGAAAAAAAAGAAAAAAATACGGCATATACAAAGGCGTCCAGGAAGTCAAAAGATCAACCTAATTAGATCCCTCCCAAGCCGAAGTAAACATATTCCAAACCTCGTATCCCTTGATCCGAAGGCTTGACTGGCGAGAGTGAAAGAATACAAGGCGTGTGCTTCTTGAAGATAAACCAAGTGATTCCCTCACTCCCCTCCCCAACCGCGCTAAGGGGTAAGCACAAGACCTTACCTGTGTAGTGAGTGAGCTGGATGGCTCGTTGTCTAACCTCAATCAACAGGAGGAACTAAGCGAGGAGTGTGTACTCCTGACAAGGGAATCAAGGTAGACTTCGCGTATTGTTGATTTTCATTTCTTCCATCATTCAGCTAGTCAAACTCGTGAAAAGTCATTCGACATGCCTTGAATTCGAAATCACGACGAATTCGCATTCATCCTCGGATACACTCTAAGGAGAGGCAGCGAATGTTAGGGACCAAGCCCGAGGAGGTATATATAGTGAGATCGCGAGCCATTTTAGGACACTTGACAATGAGGCGGAAAGGACAGTGGTGCTTGACTAGGTATCTTGTAGGGCGGTGTAAATTGGACTTCGGCGGCGGTGTATCTTCATTTCAGACGACGGCCTAAAAATGACCTTCGGCCTACTTGTCTAAAGCAGCCGCCGTGCTGAGACTGCGATTCGAGACCACCCAATCCGCTCGCCCCAATAAGCTTCCACTTTTTTTCTCTCTCCGTTCGCTGGAAAAACAGTCTATTTTGGCCGTTCGTAGCCAGGACCTTGACACGCGTAAAGGGTATCACGTGCGCCAGCACGTGATGCGTATATTTACCCTTGGGGCAGACTGATTTTTGATCTCTTCGCGCTACAGTTGAGAGCACGGGCATCTGCCTCTTTGCACTAAAAGTCTCTTTATAAAGTCGCGCGTCAAGACTTTCGGGTACAGAGATCTACTTTGTAAGCGGCCATAGCGACAAAACGGAACTGAAAGGTCAGCGATATCAGGCGTGAGGTCCATTACAGGCTGGATGGCAGAGGTACTCTTTGGTACTAGGAAGTATAGCCAGCGTCCTATCAAATTCGTGCCCGTAGACAGTGTGAGTCATCAAACACAGTACCTTGCCCGAGCCGCTGAAGTACCCCCCTTGCTTACGGCCAAGTATTACTCTAAAAGTCGTCGAAGCCGTTCTTAAATGTATACTGTGTTTGGAACCTTGATAGTGACACTGTGTGGGCCCTGCCTTTCAAATCGCTGTGCTCTTTACAGACGTCTCTCTCAAAAGTTTTGTCCTCACGCTAAAAACGCCACAAATCGGAAATAGCAAAACCACGGCTAATTACTATGAGGTTATTCCCGGCCTTCTTTATACTCATTTCCTCCTTCAAGCTCAATGATTTTCTGCACATGGACCGGTATTCTCTCTATCCAGGCTTGGATCTTCTCTTGCGGCAGCTCCTCCCAAGCGGCCTCCCAGGCACGAATAGCTTCAGCCCGGTTCCTCGGGGCACCTTTCTTCGTAGTTACCCTCTTCAAATAAGCCCAGGTTGGCTCGATTGCATTTAAATCCGGCGAGTTGCCACACCAAAGAAGCCGGCGGACCTCGTGAAGATCATATATCCGTTGTTGAGCGTGGTGTGCGTGTGATGGTGCCTTATCTTCTTGAACAACCGTGCCCGGCCTCTCGAGCTGACATTCCTTTGCAAAAGGAAGCATCTTCGGCACCAAGATAGTCTGCTGATACCTCCACCAGTCGATGCCGTTGCCCGAGCCTCTCGTCAGCTTGCCGGTCTCCTTCTTCCACTTCCACGTAGGCTTCTTGCCGGGCAGGTTACGGAGCCCTAGCCTCCTCATACCATTACTCAACTCCCACTCCTCCTTCATAATCGGCTCTAACTCCTCATTCAGAGCGTCAATTAATAACTGCGCTTCCTTCCTCTCTTTGGCGGTCTCTGGGCCCCAGCAATGACAAGGACCCTTCTTCTCATAGGAAAAGGCGCCCCAGAACATGAACTCGCTGGCCCCTTTCCATCTCTCACGAATACAGCTGCGGGAAAACCGTTCCTCGACTCGTCGCCACACACGATAGCCTCCTCGGCGATGGAGCAAGATAACAGAGGTCTCGTCAGACCAAATCACATTCTTCCAGTCCTCGAGGGTCCAGTCTTTATGGGCGATACACCAAGCAAGGCGTTCTCTTCTCATCTTCTTCGTCAACCCAGGCTTCCTCGTCGGCTTGGTCTTCCGGAAGCCAGCTTTTCGCAGAATCCTCCAAACCGTCATAGCCGAGAGATCGAAGCCCTGAGAGCTAAGCTCGCCAGCGATATCAGCACATGACTTTTCCCTTCCGTAGCGGTCACGCCGAACCTTCAAGATAACCTCCTTCTTGGCCTCTTCTGTCTGCTTCGGTGGCCGGCCGGGTCGATGAGCATCACAGAGATATTCGTCACGGATAACAAGTGGCCGCAAGTTAGGGTCAAACCCTCGTTCAATCGCACGAGCATAGATACGGTTGACTTGACGGGTTGAAAGGCCGGCTATAGCAGCGACTTCTGCAGTGGTCTTGCCGCCGCAAGGTGCCCTGAGGGCGACGACGAAGGCACGGGTCGCGATATCGGTATTTGGGGCCATAGCTAGGGACCTAGAAAACTGTTAGAAATCGAAGAGAAAGCTGATGAAGAAGATCACCATAGAAAATAGCCGGGGGGGCCCTTCACCGCATTTTTTTTGCTTTTGTGTGGCTTCTTGTGGCGCTAATTAGCGTCTTGGCAGGACAAAACTTTTGAGAGAGACCTCCGTACTGTACGTGCTGTATCTAGTTGACCTTCAATTGACCATGGTCGCTCACAATGAGACATGCTACATTTTTGCTACTTTGGGTCTTCTGGGCCATCCATCGAGATCTGCTCCGGATTGGCCACATTCACAGTCGCACCCCCGGAAATGCTGCCGCGGCATGGCACAGCGTAGTATGAAGACTCGCCCGTCTATTTGGCTGGAGTTCCAACATTTAAAGAACGTTTGTTGGCTGCGGGGGTTCCTTTCATGAAATGATCTGTCACTCCATTTCTGCACTCCGGCGGCGAACGAAGCTGATACGCACGTTCCCGCTCAAACGACAACTCAACACCCCCGCTCCTCATACAGAAACTAGCGTCATTCCTCCCCAACATCGGGTACAACTAACGCGCTGTGGAGCCCGGCCCAGGGCGTGTGAATGCCGATCGCCTGCGGGACCCTTGCCCGTCGTTGTGAACCACAATACCCATCAGGGGCTGAAGCTGGTCAACGGGGCCAGCTACTCGGCGGTGGAGGTCATTGTCGACAAGGCGTACCCGGGGCATCGGATCTCGGCTGACATGACGATCCACTTCGGGCCGCCGGCGGGGATAATCCTGGAGTCGGAGACGACTAAAGATGTCGACTTCGTCGGGATGCCGCCAGGCACGATCCTCCTGACGCCCATGAGCGTGAAGATACAATGCCAGCGGAAGCGGCCGTGGCAGAAGAACGACGTCAGCCGAAAGGGTCTGCCGTGCGCGGCGGCTTTTGCGTGCACAGACTACAAGGTGGAGGGCAGGACGCTGGAGCGCGTAGCTCTGGAGCTGCGAGGGACGCGGACGACAAACGTCGACGGGCGCGTCGTCCCCTCGCAATGCGACCCGTACAGCCTGTACGTGCAGCTGTCCCGGTGCCGGTCGCTGGACGGCATCATGCTCATCTCCAAGGTGCGGGAAAGAGATCTCGTGGGCAACCGGGTTCCGCACGAGATGACCGTGGCAGAGGCCAGACTGGAGGAATTGAGCATCAAGACTGTTCAGGAGGCTCTGCGGTGGCTGGATGATGATTTTTGACGCTTTCTCGAGGTCGAGCGGCGCTGCCATAACCTTAAATGTGTCACGGAGGTAAGGTATGAAGCACGTGCGAGGAATCCGACCAATGAGAGGGGCAAACCAAACCAATGAGAGGGGTTCTTTTAAGTTTGCGGGGTGAAGTTGGCCTCCGCGTCCAGAAGAAGCCTTTCGTTCCTCAAGGCAAAGAGGAGAAAATTTTGGGGCCAATGGGAAAGCGGGGATTTGGAGGGGGACAGGGGACAGGGCCGGCGACGCGTTGATAAATCCTTTCGTTCCTCAAGGCACTGCCAATCGCAAGCCTGCCACTTCAACAATGACCACGCCATTAGTTCACCCCTGCTCGCTAGAGCGGCCCTGATCCTCGCGCCTCCTCGCACGGCCTTGTTCTTCCGCGGCCTTGACTTGCTGAATCATCGCCTGGATTGCACGCAAACTAAGCCACATGCTTTCCGTCAGATTGGACATACCTTCAATGCTGTGCATCACGCAGTTGACATTGAATCCTTCGGGTTGCCTAGAGAGACCATCTGCCAAGGAAAGCAGCTCCGAGGCTTCGTTGCTGACCTGAAAGTCCGAAAATTATGAGTATGGACCGGTCAAATGGGCTGGCCAAGCATCTCAGGGCTAGAAAAACTCACGCTCTCAAAATTTTGACCGGCTGCGAGTCTCTGAAAGGCTGTCCCAGGGTCCACAAGCCCATGGGGGCAAGATTTGGGTGGGCGGGATTTGGGTGAGTGAGATTTGTTTGAGTGGGGCATGGTGTGACGAGGCGGTCAGAACTAGAAATACTGGGACAAAAGGAAACCAAGTTTTTCTACCTGATGAAAAAAAGTGTTGGAAAGGGCAGCCATTTTCTTCTTGAGCCTGCGCGCATTTTCTCTTCGAACCTGGCAGGAAACAGAGATTTACGTGTTAAGTTTTGGCTTGCCAATTAGGGTGCACTAAGCCATGTCTCTGTTATGTGACAAGAAGTGATAGTGGCTGAGCCAAAAGAAAAATGGCCGTGTGAGGACTCTACTGTTTCACCACACACGGCCAAGACCAATGAGAAAGCGCTGGAAAACTGGATGATTGACCCCAACCTTACCGCCAATTACTGAGCAAGGGAATATCCTGCCCGAATGCTGTGTTCGTACTATCGCAGAGGAGAACAAATGAATGCCACACATTGGTCGACATGCTTGCCTGTTTGAGCTGTCATGTTTTGGGGGAACCAAGGCGTGTAATGTGGCGGGCCGAGACCTGATGGCCCTGCTACTGCAAGGGCAGATGGCGGGAGGTGGCTCCACGACGGTCAGCCGTATTAGTTGCAGATGGAGAGGTGACACAGGCGAGATTAACGTCCGAAACGGGTCAGCGGTCAGCCCCATACCCAGTCTAGCCGCATTGAAGTGCGACGGAAAACAAAGTAGCAATTCTAGTCAGCTGCACGTCAGCCTTTGGATGGCTGTCATGGTCACAGTCAACGCGATCGGACGAGTGACTTTGCTTGAGATATCCATGTTGGACTCGGGTTTGCTGCTGGTGCCATTCGTGGCACCAACCCCCTTGCCGGTTACAGTAGTCGAGCGACTCCTCAAGGGGGTGATGCGCTCGGCTGGCGCTCAAATCTGAGGTGGCTTGACTGACGTCCCTGTGCTACATTATATCCTGGCAGCATCGCTGTCGCTGATTGATCGTGTATCCCTTAGGCTCATTGAAAGCGATTCCACATGAACCAAGCACAAGGCATGATTCAATGTGCGTTTTAGTTTCCCGCCGTAGAAGCACGCAAGGGGAAACAACCGTTGTGGAGGAACGGGAACAGCCAGCCTACCAAGACCGGTGGGCTGGGCGGATGGGACGGAGGCCACCGAGCGTCGTAAACATCAGTCACCCATGCCGCATACAGAGAAGATGGTGTGTAAGTTTTGATCGACTGTGCTGACTGGAGGAGCATGAGGGGTTTCAAAATACAAGACATTGCTCCATGAGACTCATGAGAGCCTCGTCATGGGCCATCCCGCGCCAGCCTGCTTCTGAGGCTGACGATACGAACCACCTGCCTGCAGTCCCAGGTTGCTTATCATGCAATCTTCTCGTCCCAATCAAATGGCATGACCACAGCCATGTATGCAGCTTGCCTGCAAAATGTCTTAGTGTTGAAATGAGAAGATTTAAGTTGCTTGATTCATTCTAAATGAGCAGTAGGAGAACTACTATTTATGTATAGGCACGATCTCTGTGGAATGTTCCACCTTCTCCCACACCTTGCCACCGACTTGGTCGCCTCACATTTGTGATCTCCAACACTTAGCTACTTTGAGAGATTGGTATGGCTGGACCAAAGTCTTCGACACGGACACCCAGTCTGAAAGTGCATGTTCGGAGTCGCGACTGCTGCCGCAATACAGCAACATACAAGGCGAATACCGTGGGGCGTCGTGGCTCGCCCATCCCAGGTCCGGCAAGGCCACTTCCAGACAGAGAGTGTGGAGGGGTCGTTGTCTCCCCGGTTTCCTCTCTAGCTTTGCTAGTGCCTGCCAGCCCGCCTATCACACCATGCAGCATATCCACCGGTGCGGGCACTGTGTTAATTGTAGAGCATCGACCGTGGTGGATCCATCCGCATTCCATCGTCCGAGCAGTTCCCTGGAACAGTGTACTGGGGCTTCCCGCCGCCTGTTCCCCTTGACTTAACCGATCCAGTTCCTTATACTGGGGTACCTGCTCATATTTGTTTACCCAATCGTTGCATTCGACATTGAACCGACACTACCAGTAATTCTTCAAGCTCTTCAACAGTCATTTTCCACGCATACTTGGTAACACTTCTCGCACCGCCAGGACTCACCCTCCATGGATTTTCAAGGCCGTCGAGACCACAGCAGACAGATCTGGGTCGTGACAAGCCATGTAATTGTCTCCTCCGACGAGACTTGTCGCTGTATCTCGTGATCCCTCCCAATTGCAAACCACGCAGCGCCAAACAAGGCCTGATTATATCTACCAAGGCGCCTACGTCCCGGCTTCCACTATTCACGTCTCGCACCCCCTCCTCCATCCTCTCTCGGGCTGCCGATTCAAATCGGAACGGCTATCGTGGCTGATCCATGGCAGCATGATCTAGACATGGCACAAGTCTCTCCGACATACCCATCCCAGACCCCAAACAGGCCAGTGGACTCTCAAGGTCGCCGAATGTCCCAGTTCCTCCCAGAGAGAGCGGTCCCAGACCGTCGGCCTGGCCCCTTCAGACATGATCAACGTCTTCAGGGACTTGATACTCATCCTGACCCTCCCTTTGACAGGCAACAACGTCCACCCGCCGTTCTGGCCATATCTCCGGGGACAACGCCCAACATCCTAGCTAGGCCTGGCCTTGAGCTCAGATCAGACTCGATGAAGATTCCCGATATTATAGGCAACCCCAGGCACTCCGGTGAACATGATATTGAGTACAAGCCCAGGATCCGCCAGCAGCCTGTAGCCGGTCGATACTGTGGATTCGCAGACAGGGACAGAAGGGTCATCGACCCGCCCCCTATTGTACAGCTGATGATTGAAGGCCCCAACCTTACCGAGGAGGAACTCAGCGCACAACTCCGTGGCCACTATGTCATGAGCTGTTCGATATATGATGAGACTGGAACTGGCGATGCATCTTTCATGCCGGAAGAATATCGCCATCAAAGAAGGCTCATAGGGTCCCTCGTTGCAACCCCTTTCGTCGGGAAAGACGAACACAGTGAAGAGGGTTGCTTCTTCTGCTTCCCGGATTTGTCGTGCCGCACGCTAGGAGCATTTCGTCTCAAGTTCAGTTTGATCATGATTAACCTCGCCCGGGCGCGAGAGGTTAAGCATTTCCCAGTCCTTGTTGAGGTCATGAGCGACCGGTTCACGGTCTACAACGCCAAGGACTTCCCCGGTATGCAGGCCAGCACTGAACTCACCAAACGATTGAAGGAACAGGGTTGTATCATACCTATCAAGAAGGGCCCCGACAAATCTAAAAGTTTGAGGGTATTAGACGAGTCAAGCGAAGGGGGAGCAAGGTGAAGGGGAATCTTCGCAAGGGAAATGAAAACGGCGTTCAATCCGTCGACATGCACAGTGGACAGAAAATTATGCGACATTTCAGGGATTTGGAGGCAATGGATATCAGAAATATGCGATACATGAGGGAGGGGGAGGATATAAAAGGTTAGGGCTCGCTGTTAATGGTTTAAGGGTTCGTTGGAACGGCTTCGCATCTTGTTATACTCACCAATCGACTTGACATCTTGACAGGTAGCAATGATAGTTACATGTCCTTGAGCCGCAGCAGCCGCTTGAGTGGGAATACATGAATCCAGAGGACAGGAGCATTAGATTTATGTGGCTACCTACTATGTGTCTGCTACGATTCCTTTGAGCAAGAGTGACGACTGTTCTTCTGGTGGGATTGTGTTTGACCTTGGATCTGGACGCTTGAGATGGAGGTAGAAGCAATCAAGGCGAAGTTTCATCAGTCCAGGCCCTCATCGACCTAGAGCTCAGCGAAGATCCGTGCCACACGCCAACTTTTCGATCCGAAGTGGGGCATGGACTCCACGACCCAGGCATCGTATCCAGCCACATTACCGTATCCGTCTTGGACAAGAGGCCGCAAGTCTAACTAGCGGGGCTGAGAGGGGATAAGACGCGAGAAAGTTGCAGAACCAGCGTGAAGGTGGAGAAACTCGCGCAGGTGATCCGAGACCCGCGTGGGTCTGGTCTCGGATTCAGTCTCTCGGACTGGATTCGGGACGTCGGATTGTGTGATCCGTTGATTGGCCTCGATCAGATCTGCGTATGCCAAGCATCTCAAATGAAGCTGTTGGGGCCGTGTGCCCAGAGTGTCTCAGCGTCCCTGCCATCGAGTCGTCAACATCATT